TCCAGGGCAGCTGGGGGCAAAGGGGGGCCCCTTTCCAAAAAGACCAAAAAAAAAAAAAAGAAATTCAGGAGAGAGGCTGGAGAGACAGCTTAGTGGTTAAGAGCACTGGCTGCTCTGGTAGAGGACCCAGGTTCAGTTACTTGCACACGATATACTTACATGCATGCAAAACATTTCATACACAAAGTTTTAAAAAAATTTTTTATATATATTATTTTTTATTCTATGTCTATGAGTATATTGCCTGCATGTATGTGAGTGTACCTGTGTCATGCAATGCCAGGGAGGTTAGAAGAGGGCTTCAGATTCCCCTAGAACTGGAGTTAAGGATGGTTCATAGCTGCCATGTGGGTGCTGGGAATTGTACCCAGGTCCTCTGCAAGAGCAGTCTGTGCTCTTAACCGCTGAGCCATCTCTCCAGCCCCCAAAATAAAATATTTTTAAAAATTAAATTTTAAAGCCGGGCGTGGTGGCGCACGCCTTTAATCCCAGCATTTGGGAGGCAGAGTCCAGCCTGGTCTCCCTAGTGAGTTCCAGGACGGCTAGAGCTACAAGGAGACCCTGTCGCAAAAAAGACAAAAAAAAAAAAAAATTTTTTTTAATTTCAAGAAGTGTTTACAATAAAGCCAGGAGTGGTGATGCATACCTTTAATCCCAGTACCCAAGAGGCAGATGCGGATGCAAGCGGATCTCTGTGAGATCGAGGCCAGCCTGGTCTACATAGTGAGTCCCAGGCCAACTGTGGCTGTAGGGAGACCCTGTCCCAAAAAGACCAGAAACAAAACAAAACAAAAATTTTTTTTCATAATAAAATTTCAGCTTAACAACTTTTAAAAACCAAAAATTGGGTCTGGGAAGATGGCCCAGCAGTTAAGAGCACTGGTTGCTCTTGCATAGGACCTGGGTTCCATGCCCAGCATCCACATGGTGGCTTAGAACCGTCCATAGTTGCAGGTGCAGGTGTTCTGACGCCCTCTTCTGGCTTCCACCAGCATTGCATGCACACTCATAAGAATAAATCATTTTTAATTCAGGAGGGGGCTGGCTCAGCCGGTGGAACACTTGTATGCAAGCTTGAGGAGCAGAGTTCAGATCCCTAGACTCCCATAAATGCCAGGTGGATGTGGCAGCCTCCTGTAATCCCAGCCAGTAGAGTGAGCTCCAGGCTCAGGGAGACACCGCTAACATAGAAGGTGGAGAGCATCAAGGAGGACCCAGCGTCAGCTTCTCACCACCACACACATAACATATCAGGTACTTGTGTGCCCACACATGTGAACGCATAGATACATCCCAGCACACATGTACATACACACACAAAGAAATTCAGCAGAATCTCTGGAATGATAGAGTTGCACAGAGACAAGGGCTCAGCTTTGAAAGGAACCAAAGTCAACTTCCAGCTAGAAAACTTTCTACAGTTAATCTAAAACCTAGGACCTTAAAGACAAAAGTCAGTTGACCAAAGTCAATGAAATGACCTTATGACAAGTTTAAAAACTGGATTGTTTGTTTGTTTGTTTTTTAGACAGGGTCTCCTTGTTACCCCAGATGGCCTGGAACTCAAAATGTAGTGAGGCTAGCCTGGAACTCACAGACATCCACCTGTCTCTGCCTCCAGAGTGCTGTTATTAAAGGCGTGCATCACCATGCCCAGCTTTAAAAGCTAGATTTTCAAGACCGAGAACCTAACTACAGTTGTACTGGAGCCTTGGTCAATAAGTGGTTCCCAGCTAGTTGGTTGGCTGTGTTTATCTATTTGGATTTCTTCTACTCTTCCATAAACAGAACTTGAGCTGTGCTGATTCTAGCACTTGCCCGTCTCAAAGGGGCTCCCATCCTCAGTCACAGCCCCTGTGTTCCTTTACCCTTGGCTGCCCCAAGGCCTGGCACCAAATATGTGTTAACACAGGGAAGGGCTATGGATGTAGCTCAGTAGTAGAGTGCTTGCCTAGCACATGCAAGGTCCTGGGTTCCATCCCCATCTCTGTAAGAAAACAAGAATTCTTAACCAAGTGGCGTAGCTCGTGGTCATAATCCCAGCCCTCAGGAGGCTTAGTCAGGAGAATCTTAAATTTGAGGCCAGCCTAAGCTATATATAGCAAGTCATAATTTAAAAAGGGGAAAAAAAGCAAGATTCCATTCTCCAGACTTCCTTGGAAGGTGGTGGCACGGAACACATTACAGGAAGTGTGTTCTTTCATTGGTTCAAATGGCACTTCCTGGGAAGTGTTTCACTTATTTTCTGATTGGTATTACCTTGTAACAGGTCTAGTTGGCTAATTGTTGAACAAAAGGAGTTAATAGAAAAGCTAGGCGTGGTGACACACATGTAATCCAGCACTCTTGAGACTCAGACAGGAGACGTGAAGCAAATTTGAGGCCAGCCTGGGCTAAATAGCAAAAAAAAAAAAAATCTCAAAAAAAAATTCTTAAAAATTTCTGATATAACCCTAATGTTAATATTTTTCCCAGTTGTGTGCCCACACATGTGAACACGTAGATACATCACAGCACACATGTATGTACACACACAAAGTTATACGAGTTATATTAATTACTCATTCTAATCTCCCAAAGGGTCACCAAAAAAATTGTTTTATTTCCTTGGGTTGATTAGTTGTTGGTGGTAAGTATGAAAGGTATCTCTTGATTTTTATGAGTCTTTGAAGGGTCTTTTCAGCTATTGGATCTGTCACAAACCAATAGGGAAAGAATTCTCTGTTGAGCATCATCCTGGGGCACTTCCCGGAGAGTAGCGCCGGCCTCAGGGCAGGTAGCAGTCCTGGGGCAGCACCTCAGCTGATCACTGAGGACTCCTGGAACCCAGCAGCTTTCTGTGCTGAAGTGCTTTGCTAACACTCTTTCTCCCTCCCTTTCAGCTGGCGTACTGTGTCGTGCAGTTTTTAGAGAAGGACAGCACCCTCACTGAACCAGTAAGTTGCTCTCTCTGGGGTCCTGACTACTGGCTGCACGTTTCCTTAGCTGTGTCCTAGCTGAATGCAAACATGGCACATCCATTTCACCACATTATGCTTTGTCATCTTCAGTGGCAGTACTGACACAGGCTGGACGTTTCAGTTGCAAGTTCAGTGATGACTTTAGGTGACGAGCTTCCCGCTGTGTCCTGTACCGTGCTTTACTCCTTGGAGCTCAGCCACTCCAGGTGCAGTTCAGTGTTCCACATCCGACTCAGGTACAGGCATCGCAGTGAGAACCTGAGACACTGGTTGTGCTAAAGAGGTTCAGTTACCCTGGAGGTTCTTTCCAAGTTAGTGTAACTTGTTCTAGTCTTTGACTAACAAGTGAATGCTAGATTGCTGTGTTTTGGGTTTAGAGTTCAAATTTTCTTTATTATAAAAAAAAGCCAGACATGGTGGCTCACACCTTTAGTTTCAGCACTAAGGCAGAGGCAGGTGGATCTCTGTGAGTTCAAGGCCAGCCTGGTCTACATAGTGAGTTCCAGGCCAGCTGGGGCTACAGGGAGACCCTGTCTCAAAAGACTCCCCCCTCCCCCAAAAAATTAGAAATTGATCCCCGGCAACTTTACTAAAAATCAGTCAATCAATAAATGACTTATTGTAGCCAATATTAACAAAGACTTGTTAGTTGCAAAGTTAAGCATTTGAGTTCATGTTTTAAACAACTTAAGTAAAATACAGTTTATATCCCATGTAGTTCACCCACTTAAAGTGTATAGTTTAAGTCAGGCATAGCGACTCTGGAGGCTGAGACAAAAGGATTGCCATGAGTTTGCGGTTAGCCTGGGCTATGTAGCAAGAGTCCTAGCCCACTGCCCCTTTTCTTCTCAGAAACCAAAGGGAAAAACCACATAGGAAGAAAAGTCTATCAAGTTTTCTCTTATGATTCCTGCTACTTTTTAGTGAGTAAAGAATTCACCAAATGTCGCTCCCCATTTGCCAGACAAGGGCTTCTCCTACCCAAAGCATCCCCCTGCTGGGCTCATCCCAGCGTGACCCCAGTCCTGCTTGGCCTGGACACTCTGCCCTCATCCACCTGAGAGTAACAGAACCACAGGTGACATTGTGGATGTTTCAGTCCCACTAATGCAGTGATCATGAAGGACCAGCAACTTTTCAAGCAGTGAGTTCACTGTAGTCATGAGCAAGATGACAAGAGATCATATGCTCCTTCTCCATAAACATCATGTGCCAGGCTCTGGCTGGGCCCAGTACAAACAAGCTGCAAACCACACACCCAGCCTGACACATTGGCCCAGAGAAGCTTTGTGTTGTAGCTCCTGCAGACAGATGATGTGATGACTTTGTGTTGTAGCTCCTGCAGACAGATGATGTGATGTGACTGTGCAGCTATAGAAAACAGAGTTAATTCTCATCATATTAAAAGCATACAGACCTGTTACACAAATTTCTTCCTTTGGAATTCACATTTTGAGAACATACAAAGGTCATTTTCTTTGACTTCATCAGTGAACACTTGTCTTCAGGGTCCAAGCATAGACACAAAGGTGTGTGTCCCCTGGGCACACATGCCTGCCTCCCATGCTGCCCCACAGCAGCTCATGGAGTTGTAATTCCAGGCACAGAACTACTTTTCTTTTAAATTTTTATTTATTTGTTTTTATCGTATATGTTTGAATGTTTTACTTGCATGTATGTAAGTACACCTGTGTCATGCAGTGCCCATAGAGGCTAGAAGAGGGTGTTGGATCCCCTGGAACTGGAGTTATAAAAAGTTGTTTGCCACCATGTAGATGCTGGAAACCGAGCCCAGGTTCCCTGCAAGAGCAGCCAGTACCCCTAACCACTAAACAGTTTCTCCAGTCTCAGAACTGCTTTTTTTAAAAATGTAAGTTATTGCCAGGTGTAGTGGTGCAGCCTGTAGTCCCAGCACTCGGGAGGCAGAGGCAGGTGGATCTCTGTGAGTTCAAGGCCAGCCTGGTCTACATAGTGAGTTTCAGGACAGCTGGGGCTACAGGGAGACCCTGTTTTAAGAGTGAGTTATGTTAAGTTAGTTACTTTTCTCACCGCTATAACCAAATACCTGACAAGAAGCAACTTAAGGAAGGGAAGATTTAGCGTGGCTCATGCTTTGACAGGGTAGTCTGGGGTGGCGGGAAGACTCAGAGTACATGACTGTAGGAACATGTAGCTTGGACTCCTACATATGAACACACCAGAGGCAGAGAACAGGGAATGTCGGTGCCCAGCTGCCCTTCTCCTTCCCTCTTCACTCAGCCCAGTCCTCCAGCCATGAGATGTGCCACCCAACTTAGGGCAGGAGGTGTTTCTTTCTCTTTTTTTTTAATATTTTACTTATTTTTTAATTTTTATTATTTTTTTTATGTGTATGCGTGTATTGCCTGCATGTAGGTAAGTGCACCTGTGTCATGCAATGCCCTCGAAGGTCAGAAAGGCTGTCAGATCCCCTGGGACTGCAGTTATGGACAGTTGTTAGCTGCCATGTGGGTGCTGGGATTCAAACCCGGGTCTTCTGCAAGAACAACCAGTGTTCTTAACCGCTGAGCCACCTCTCCAGCCCAAGGAAGTGTCTTATTCCAATCAAGTTGACAGTGGAAATTACCCATCACAACTGTCCACTTAAAGATTGTAGTTTGAGGGGCTGGAGAGATGGCTCAGTGGTTAAGAGCACTGGCTGCTCTTGCAGAGAACCAGGTGTGATTCCCAGCACCCACATGGTGGCTGACAACCATCCATAACTCCAGTTCCAGGGGATCCAGTGCTCTCTTCTGACCTTTGAGGGCATTGCACAACACGGGTGCACTTACCTACATGCAGGCAGAACACTCATACACATAAAATTAAAAAAGATAAAATATTTTTTAAAAGATTGCAGGGGTTTTTTGTTTCTGGTTTTTTTTTTTTTTTTTTTTTTTTTTTGTCGTTTTGAGACAGGGTCTCCCTGTAAGCCCCAGCTGTCCTGGAACTCACTATATAGACCAGGCTGGCCTCGAACTCACAGAGAGCCATCTGCCTCTGCCTCCCAAGTGCTGGGATTAAAGGTGTGCACCACCACACCTGGCAAAAGATTGCAGTTTTATATAGGCCATTTGTTCACATACTTGAACCCTATAATTGATATTTTCCATGAATTCAAAAGCTTTCTGGGCACAGTGAATATGTTTACTATTGTAAGAATACAGGCTCACTGCTGTCTGTTTTCACCTGCCCGTCTCCAGCAAATGGAGTTTCCTGTGGATCCTGGTAGCAGCTGCTCTTCCTCCTGAGTGCACCAAGACAGATTCCCAAAGACTCAAGGCCAGATTACTGACATGCACCAGGGCTGGCCAGCCTTTTGGGAGCAGGCAGCAAGAACCCAGTGCCTTGAGCTGCAGCCAGCAGCACAATGCTGTTTGCATCCCTTCTGCAGAATCCTGCCCCACTCTCACAGCCCAGAAAACTGGGTGCTGCTCACAGTAGCTCCAAAGAGCAGCCAGTGTGAGAGCCTGACTCAGAAACCACGGCTTTTGCCTCATCGGTGGCACTGTGCTGCTCAGAAAGCAGCACATTTCTCCTCCTGAACCCACCTGACAAGGGAGGAGCTGTGCTTACAAAGGGCCCTCTGTCTCCTGTGCTCTTCGCAGTGGCTCCTATTCAAGTGGGTACTCGAGGAATGTCTTTTAAATAGCATTGAGCTAAAAGTAGGAAAATCATTGACTGGTACTCTCTTAGAAATAAGTCCTTTGAAGACAGTTGTAGAATTTTATGTCCGATTTTAAAGCTAAGAGAACTTGTGAAATGAATTTCGGAGTTTCATAATATGTAAAAGAAAAGATTTCCCTGGAGCCTAAGTATTCAAAGCAGAATTGTTATAAGTGAATATTTTTCAAATGTCCACTTTGCCTTATACCCTTGTAATGGTGAAGAGTAGCTTGCTAACAGGGAGTTTCTGAGCTGTATATGACACTCAAAAACCCCCAGCCTGTCCCGAGGTGCCACACATGGTCTCCTCGGCAGTGTTGATCCTGGTATGGGAGCTGCAGTACTGGCTCTAGGGTGTTGCCGTGGCTGTTAGTGGTAGAGGCCCAGCCTAGCACTGCTGCCTGCAACCTGAGGACTACCCCCTTGGGAAGGTAAAGCCAGACCCTAATTATGCTGCAGAAAATAATTTCAGGACAACTCAGAGTGATAGCCAAGTTTATTAAGTAAAGAGAAATGATATTGCATACTTTATATTTAATTGTGGTAATGAAAGAGAACCAGACTTAATAAAAAGGCAGTACAGGGGACTGGAGAGATGGCTCAGTGGCTAGGAACACTTGCTCTTCCACAAAACCCGGTTCAAATCCCAACCCTCACATGGCGGTTAGCAACCACCTGTAGTTCAAGTTCCAGAGGATCCGATGCCCTCTTCTGGCCCTTGTGGGCTTTGCACACATGTGGTGCACCTACATGCATGCAGGCAAAACACATCTACACATAAAAAAAAAAAAAGTAATCAGTGGGGCTAGAGAGGGTTAACAGCACTGGCTGCTCTTACAGGGGACCCAGGTTTGATTCTCAGCACCCACATGGCAGCTAACAACCCTCCCTAACTCCAACTTCAGAGAATCGATTGCCCTTTTTTGACCTCTGTGGGCATTGCATGACATGGGTGTGCCTACCTACATGTAAGCAGTACACTCATACACATAAAATAAAAATTAATAAAATATTCAAAATAAAAGATTTTTTAAGGCAGTGCACACCCAAGATATGAATGTGAGTGAGCCAGGTGTGGTGGCCCACAGCTTTAATCCCAGCACTTGAGGCAAAGACGTGACATCAACACCAGCCTGGTCTACATAGCGAGTTCCAGGGCAGCTGGGGCTACAGGAAGACCCTGTCTCAAAAAAAGCAAACAAAGCCAGGCGTGGTGGCGCACGCATTTAATCCCAGCACTCAGGAGGCAGAGGCAGGTGGAGCTCTGAGTTCAAGGCCAGCCTGGTCTACATAGTTCCAGGACAGCTGGAGCTACAGGGAGACCCTGTCTCAAAAAAGAGCAAATAAACAAAAAAAGATCTGAATGTGGAGTTCTCAAGAGAGCGTTGTACGTAAGTATCCCCATAGTGAAGTGTGCTTGACTCTGTCCATGCTGCATTTTTCAAAGGGTATGATTTACAACAAGGTGTAGAGATTGTGAAGTTTAGGAAGTATGGCCTCATTTTGTTTTTTTGGACTTTGGGCTCTTGCCACTAAGCACAAAAAAACTGGGTTTGGCCGGGCGTGGTGGCACACGCCTTTAGTCCCAGCACTTGGGAGGCAGACCTCTGTGAGTTTGAAGCCAGCCTGGTCTACATAGTGAGTTCCAGGCCAGCTGGGGAGATAAGGAGGGGGACACACTGTCTCAAAAAGACCACTAAAAAAAGAAAGAAAAAAGAAACTGGGTTCGATTCCCCAGGACCCACATGGCAGAAAAAAAGCACCAGCCCCTACAGATTGTTGTTACACAGGCACTGTGGCAAGCATGTGCACACATACAATTAATTAGTTAAATGTAATTAAAGATGAATTTCCTTTTGTAGATGAAATTGTAAGGTACGTTTTGTGAGATGTGAGAGTGCCAATACAGTCAGACTCCAGTCCACAAACATCCTGGCCCTAAGCAAGTAGAGTCTGTTGTTTTTAACATCCTTGTTTCAGAGAGCTTCAGGAAAAGGAGCACATTCTGCAGACAGTCTTAGTTTTGTAAGTTGGGGAGGGGGTCAGTCTTTTTGAGACAGGGTCTCCTTGTAGCCCCACCAGGCCCAGAACTCAATATGTAGACCAGGCTGGCCTTGAACTCACAGATATCCTCCTGCTTCTGCCTCCTGAGTACTGGAACTAAAGACATTGCCACCACGCCCGGCTTTAGTTTTGTAAGTTGTATTAAGTTTCTTGACTCTTAGCCAGCAGGAAACTCAAACTAGATGTCAAAATGAGGAATAGCTTTCCTTTCCTGTGTCCCTTTAACTTTTTGTCTTTCTGTCCTGCTTCACAGACAAGGCCTCATGGCTGCTTCAAAGTGATTTGTACTTTGGACAAGTATTGTGCATTTACATGTGCTTATACAGATATGCCTGGGGATTTGGGGGGAGTCCTTGTACTTTTGGGAACTAAGACAGCTAAACTCTAAAAATGTTATTAATCTTCATTGAATTAAAAATCCAGTATTTTTGACTAACATAATTTGTTAAGACATTTTGAAACTACAGGAACTTTTTTTAAGATTTGAGTTCAGAAGTGGGTGTTGGATCCCTTGGAGCTCAAGTTACAGGTGGTTGTAAGCTGCCTGACATGGGTGCTGGTAACAAAACTCGGTCCTCTGCAAGAGCAATACCTGCTCTTAACTGCTCAGCCATCTCTCCAGCCCCAGGAACATTTTTTTAATGTTGCCCAGCAGGCACTCTTTATAGCCGTCAGACTTAGGCAAAGACAGTACATACAATATGCATGAGTTAAGAAAGCACTAGGATCTCATCACATGCAGCTCACCAGGCCCTAGTGGCATGGACCAAGTAATGTTAGTCCTTGTTGCTCCTAGTCAAGGCACGGCTGCTATATACTTCCCCCTGACCAAGCAGGGTGCCAGCATTGTAACCCAAGCTCCCAGGTGAGCACACACAGCAGGATCAGCCCAGCTCAAGTCTAGCACTTGCAGTAGATATGAACATCTGCTTCATTGACAACATCCTTTTCATACATTTTGGCATAGTTAAGAACACCATGCACGAGTGCATGCACATATGAGAGAGAGAGAGAGAGAGAGAGAGAGAGTAAAAACATACAAGTAGTTAGTTTGAGAAGTAGATTGTGTGTGTGAATGGTGTCAACAGTGTCTGAACTGGCTATTTCCACATTAGAGCACACACATGAATTCAGTCTGCATTGTCTCCACTGGTGTCATGACTCCCCAAAGTGGTGACAGTCAGAGGAGATAGGTCACATAAAACTGATAGATAAGTATGTAAAATTGGGCTGTGCAACTATGAAAGAAGGAATGACTGAACCTCTGACCTAACTACAGGGCCCGCAGCACCATCTCGTTTCACTGCTCTGTGTGGTGGCCCCTTCCTGGAAGCCCGGACATCTTCTTCCCAGGTGTCGGCACTCTGTGGCATCGCTTCCCGTGTTGTTGTTTTTTGTTTTGTAGGTGGTAATGGCACTGCTCAAATACTGGCCAAAGACTCACAGTCCAAAAGAAGTAATGTTCCTAAATGAACTAGAAGAGATTTTAGATGTGATTGAGCCGTCAGAATTTGTGAAGATCATGGAGCCTCTTTTCCGACAGTTAGCCAAATGTGTCTCCAGCCCTCACTTCCAGGTACGCGGGTTTGGGGACAGGAGTTAGAGTGCTTTAGAACGTTGGCGCCGAAGGGCCCCTTTTCAGTGTGAAGCTACTTGTGCTTTGGCTTTTGTATGATTTAAAGGTGAAATTCAAGTTTTTACTTGAAATGTGCTTTAAAATTACACACTAAAACTTTCGCCAGGTGCTGTGGCTCATTCCTATAAGCCCAGCACTCAGGAGGCTAAGGCAGGAGGATTGCCGTGAGTCCAGGCTAACCTGGACTGCAGAGAGACCCTGACCAAAAACCATAAAATAAAACTTGACCCAGATTCGACTCCAAGCACCCACGTGGCAGCTATCAGCCATCAGTAACTCCAGTTCCAGGGGATTCCACACCTTCTTCTGACCTCTGTGGGCATTGCACGACACAGGTGCACTTACAAGCATGCAGGCAATATACTCATACACATAAAATTTTTAAAAATAAAAAAGAAACTTGAATTCTATAAATTTTAATTTCTAACCCCTTGTTCTTTTCACTGAAAATAGCTCTGTACAGAGCCAAAAGCCTGTCCTTGCAAAGCTCTTTGCATTCAGATGCAGCCTGCTTCTAGTTCTTCCAAACTAAATTATCAATATGAATGGGTAACATGATGACAAAAACTTTTAACTCTGACAATATCTCCCTTCATGAGCTCTTCATTTCTGACATACAGATTTGTCTTCCCTTACATCTTTTTTAATTTTTTGTTGAATTTTTGTGCATCTCATTCAATACATCTTGATGTTTAGACGCCCTCCTCTATCTGTACTGCCCCATAGCCCCCTCACCTATTTTATGCGTCCTGTCATATATGTTAAGGCCTATGAGTCAAGATTGTGTCCCCAGAAGTCCCTCGGTGTGAGTCCATCCACTGGAGCCTGGTCAGTCTATCTAGCATCACTCCCTTAAGGAAGACCAAGCCTCTCTCGCCCAGCAGTGATCCGCTCCAATAGTCCCTCAGTTCAGGTTGGAGCTTCTTACCCATTTCCCAATTCCATGCTGGGTTTCTGTCTGGTTTGTGTTTGCGTGGGTCTTGGGCATACTGTCACCACAGCTGCAAGGTCCAAGCCTCCTGAAAAACTCTGTTTCCTTGTGGTCATCTACCACCCCTGACTCTTACAGTCTTTCTACCCCCTCTTCTGCAGTGGTCCCTGAGCTCTGGGTGGCAGAGGTTTATTATAGGACTCCTGTCCAGGGACATACATTCTGTAGTCTCTTAATCTCTACATTTTGGCCAGTTACAGCTTTGTATATTAATCACCATCTGTTGCATGAGGAAGCTTCCTTGGTGAGAGTTGAGAAATTAATTAATATCCTCTCTGCCCCTATTCCACTATGTTCCCTGAGCCTTAGGTGTAAAGGTTGCATTGTAGATGTGTCCACTTAGGGTTGAACATCTCACAAACACTTATTTCTTGCACTTGACCAGTTGTAGAACTCTGCAATCGTCTCTATCTGTTGCAAAAACAAGCTTTGATGAGTGGTGAGAGGTCCACTTGTCTGTAAATATGAGGATATATATTTAGCATACAGTGAGAAATTCATTTGTCTAGGGATGTGACAGACACAGGTTTTTCTCTAGGATCTATGACCTGTCCAGCCACGTGTATTTGGCTATGGTTACAGTACCACACGTGAGTTCCTTCCCATTGATTAGATAGCTGTTGATTACCCCCAAGATAAAAGTGCCACTATTTGGGGACTGGTGTGATGGCTCAGCAGTTAAGAGCACTGGCTGCTCTTACAGAGGACCTGGGTTCGGTTCCCAACACCAACATGGCAGCTAACAACCATCTGTAACTCCAGTTCCAGGGAATCTGACACCCTCTCCAACCTCCACAGGCATTGCACAACACAGGTGCACTTACATGCAGGCAATATACTCATAGACATGAAATAAAATTTTTAAAAATAATAAAATATTTTTTGAGCATGCCACTCCTGCACCAATATGGTTTGCCGTGTGGGTCGTTGTTGTGGTTATTGGGCTTTACAGCCTGGTAGGACCATTGATTGGTTTTCCTCCCTTGGCAGCTTGAATAATGTCCTCTGATACCAAAAGAACCTTCAGGGAAGAGCTTCCAGGTCAGGTCCAGCTCCATGGCTCCAAGTCCTGTGTCCGAAGTGTGTCCTGTCAGCAGCAGTAGGGTCTTACCTTAAGTTCTGGGAGGTAATGAAGGGCTGTGGCAATGGCCTGTGTTATTTGGGAGTCTCTTGGACTACCCTGACCGACAATGAAGGGAGGTTTCTCCTGTCCGGCACTGTTTCTTGTTGTACAGCCTTCAGCTGGGCACACACTCACGTACAGATACTGCATATGTGTTTTTCAGTGGCTTTTGAACGGATACATTTCCATCTGGTTTTGTTTTTTGTTTTGGGGTTTGTTTTTTTTTTTGTCTTTTTGAGACAGGGTATCCCTGTAGCCCCAGCTGTCCTGGAACTCACTATGTAGACCAGGCTGGCCTTGAACTCACAGAGATCCACCTGCCTCTGCCTCCCAAGTGCTGGGATTAAAGGCATGCACCACCACACCTGGCTAGAAAAATTCATTTTTAATGCAATTGACACTTAAGATGTTTGCACATGTGTTTCTAATCTCCATATGTCTGATTATTACTAGTCACACTCAGTTTCTTTCTGAGCTCCTTGGGATCTGAGCATGGATATAAAGTCATCAGGTAGATTTCAGTGGTAATGTAGATTTCAGTGGTAATGTTTTTCACATCTACTAATTATTAAGGAGCAAATTTTTATGCTTTGAAGAATTTTTTTTTAATTTAATAACCACATGATTAGAAGAAGCATTTCATAACAGCTTCAACATATTCAGTAACTCTCCAGAGCAAGGATACATCTCTTTCAAAAGTGGCTGTAAATTTTTAGGTTCACATTTGAATTAATACAGTTATACAATATTGAACTCAGTATAAGCTCTGTAAGACATAAAATTGAATGAGTTTTTAACCCTCAAAAGAGATCTCCATTTCATTCTAAAATATACTGTTTCTTACAGAAAGACTCATTGATTTTGCTACTAACACTGAGATGTTGGTGCAGTCCATCTGGTTTTTCACACCACCTAAGCATTGTTTTTCTTACCTCTCCTCTCTCCCCCTGTATAACCCTCCCTTCTCCCTTCCCAGTTAAAGTACCCGCATTTTCCCCATTTCCTCCCTTAAGGTTTATTTTTTAATTTATTTTTATTTTATGTGTATGAGGGTATTGCCTGCATGTATTAAGTTCACCACATGTGCAATGCCCGTGGAGGTCAAAAGAAGGCATCAGAGCCCCTGGAACTGGAGTCACAGACCGTTGTTAGCAGCCATGTGCGTGCTGGATACCGAAGCCAGGTCCTCTTCAAGAACAGCCAGTGTTCTTAACTGCTGAGCCGTCTCTCCAGCCTCTCTCCTTACATTTTTTTTTAATTAGTGGTCTGATTTTTCTCATTATCCAAGTCTGTCTGGGAGAATAGTGCTCATTACTCACTTGCACTGTCCCTCTCACCGTCTCCAAGCTGGCTTGGCTCTCTTCCCCTTCCAGGCCTGCCCTTCTGCCATGTCTAGGCTTTTTCCCTCTACTCGACCTAGTAGCACTTTGGGTCACAGAGCAGATGTGTATGGTGTATTCATCACAAGCAAGGTCAAGATTTAAATCTAAATCAGCAGAGCTGGTGACCCAGGAAGCTGCAGTTGCTCAGCCACTGTGCAGCTGAGCGCCAAGGACTGTGTGGAGGTTCCTTTCTCAAAGAGGGTACTCCACGTGGAGCTTCTCAAGGCCGTTAGGAGAGAAATCACTGCAACCTACAAAACTGAAACAAGAAGCCCAGCAAATGACAGGAGGAACAGCAGCTCTGCTGATGTGGGACAAGGCAGCCCTCGTGCAGAAGGCAGGGTCAAGCTGTTGGGCAGGGTCCACTAAGGCAGTCTTCCATTGCATGCACTGGACCTGCTGCTACTTTAGAGCATTTTACATTAGGAGCTAACACAGGAAAATTATGTTGCCCAAAGCTTAAGGTATGAACAGTTTACACAAATGAGCATTGCTGTCTATCTGGATCTCCAGCACACCCACGGACACAGCCTTTAGAGCAGACCTTTAGAATTAGAGACAAAGGACCACCAGACACTTTTGACAACTTGAATGTCCCCAGAGACAAAAAAAAGGCTATCCATATGGAAGCTTACTTTATAGGCTTTCAGAATTTCTTTAATCATTTAATTGGAATTATTCCACATGGGGAAGGTGATGCTCCTCTAGGAAACCTTTGACAAAAAGCCCAGACCCAAGTGTGGGATACCTCCCTTCAAGTTGTTGGTCAAGGGGGTGCAAGAAACCCCAAAACAATATGCTAATGCCATTGCACTTGGCTGCCCACCAGAACTTGAGGGTAAGATCAGATTGCTAAAGACGCCATATACATTGGTCCACAGGGCTTGGAGACCTGAAGCTAGTACTGAACCAGAAGCCCCCTCCCTGGTGGCCAGCTTTCACAGCGCTTTAACATCAGTGCTAAGCAGGCTGCTGGGAGAGAAAAGGTACAGCTGTGAACCCTGTGAACTGCAGTCACGAGATTCCTGGCAAGATATGCCCATTAGTGCAAAGTATCATGAGTCCTTCGGGGTAACCAACAACTGTCTGATCAGAGTGAAGTCATGCAAGTACTGTAAACCTGGCCAAGAACCCAGAGGGGAGAGGTCCTGGACCCTAGGAGAGAAGTACTGTCATTTTGCTAAATTGATACAGTAACTGCCTTCTAAATCCTTATCCTTCATAGCTTAGGCCAGCTCATAGCCCATATCAGAGAAACTGCTTTTGGCAGTGAATGAAGGTTAACACAGAGAACTATAAATTATCAAAGTGCAAAGAATAAGTGATCATGGAATGCTCATCCTCCAAGGGGACATCTGTCACACCATCCCACCCCAGAACTCAAGAACATTGGTGGTGGAGCATGGCAGGAAGGGTGAATAGCCAGAGGTCAGGGAGGACGGCTATGAAGCAGCGTCTTCTGGACGTGACAGGCAGTTGCACTCATAAACTGTCAACAGATGTGGATGCCTACACCAGACCTGCACAGGGCCAATCTAGTCAGTATTCCAGCATGAATATCTGGGCTGTTGGGTGGCTTACAAGGTCATACTCCTAGTTGAAAAGCTACAGGCAGTTGACAGCCCTGGGGAAAAGTCAGCATTCTTTAGGGGTAAGGCTCCTGGTAGGTAGCCAGTGCTACAGTAGACAGCCCTACACCCACATTCAAGTAGGCAGTAATAATAGGACTCAGAAGGGTTTGTGTGTGTGTGTGTGTGTGTGTGTGTACAGGTGCAGAAACGTGTGCATGAAGTATTTTTAAATGGCAGTGGCTATTGACACAGGTGACACTGCACATTTCAGGAGGAACAACAGTGGCTCCTGGTAGGTAGCCAGTGCTACAGTAGACAGCCCTACACCCACATTCAAGTAGGCAGTAATAATAGGACTCAGAAGGGTTTGTGTGTGTGTGTGTGTGTGTGTGTGTACAGGTGCAGAAACGTGTGCATGAAGTATTTTTAAATGGCAGTGGCTATTGACACAGGTGACACTGCACATTTCAGGAGGAACAACAGTAACAGTAATGTCCTTGTGTATTTTTCTTTGGATTTTTTTTTTTTTTTGCCATTATCTTGCTTTGTAGCCCAGGCTGGCCTCAAATTCATTATCCTACTCCCTCAGCCCCCCAAATGCTAAGATTACAAGTGTGCACTGCCATGCATCATTTTTAATACAATCTCACAGGGGAAAACATAGAAGAGCTCACCAAGAGGGAAAGTAGCACATGAGGCATGTGGCCTGGTTGCATAGAACACAGGTGAGTAATCAGGGACTGCCCCAATTCCCGCCTGAGCACAAGAACAGTGTCCAAGGGGCAGCAAGGAACTTTGCTACAGGGAGACATGGACACCTTTGATGGGAGACAGCGATGTGAGGACTCTAAAGCATGGTCTCTCCGTCACCGCCCACTGGCAGCCAGCCCACCTCCTTCCTTCGAGCACAAGAACAGTGTCCAAGGGGCAGCAAGGAACTTTGCTACAGGGAGACGTGGACACCTTTGATGGGAGACAGCGATGTGAGGACTCTTAAAGCATGGTCTCCGTCACCGCCCACTGGCAGCCAGCCCACCTCCTTCCTTTGTGCCAGGCCACCTTGTTCTTTCCTGAAAGTGCCTCCTGGAAGACCTGAATCAACACCAAGTACATTCTAGACTCTTCCAGAAACATAGAAAGGAGGCTAGCTCCTTAATAGTCAGATGTATTTTACATATAAAAAAATGTTTTGTGCTTTCTCCCTGGCTATCGTGGTGGCTCCTCTTGGTTGGGGTTGTCTGGCCCTTAAGGCAGGAAGACGGTGACTGCAGAGAAAACAGACGCTCTTGAGTAGTCAGCACTAGGCTCCAAGTTAGGAAAAGTGGGAAGGGGGTCAGCGAAATGACTCAGCAGGTAAAGGGGCCTGCTGCTAAGGCTCATCATGACCTGAGTTCAGTCCCCAGGACCCACATGGTAGAAAGAGAGAACTCACTCTCGAAAGTTGTCCTCTGACCTCCACGTGTAAACCGTGGCACACACACATATGCACGCAATTATTTTTTTTTTAAGCAGAAAGTATGTGAGGGGTACATATGTTGGTACAAGCAGACTCTGAAGATGATCAGAGAGGATAAAGTGAAATTGCTCATCCTCATCAACTACCCAGCGTTGAGGAGAGACTGTGGTATGTTAACCAAAATACATGGCAGTAATACTGAATTGGGCAGAGCATGTGGAAAACACTAGCACATGCATGCTGGCTGCGGTAAACACAAAAACAGTTCATAATTTGAGCCTTCAGACACCTTAATCTTATATTTTCTAGTGCAGGCTTAAGGTAGCATATCCAAGTGTATTTATGGATAGATAATGTTCTTTGGAATACAAGGTGTTGAGCCAGCAAGATGGCTCAGCATTTGCCATACAAGCCTGATGACCTGAGTTCAATTCCCAGAACCCATGTAAAAATGAAAGGAGAGAATTGACCTAGAGTTGTCCTCTAACCTCCATACACACACCATGGCACACACACAACATACACATGAGCCTGTGCAAGCACACATACATAATAATGAATAAATTTTAAAAACAGCCAACAAGATAACTTAACAGTTAAATGTGCTTGCCACCAAGCCTGATTACAAATTTGATTCCTGGGACCCACACAGTGGAAGGAGAGAACCAAGTCCTACAAGTTGTCCTCTGACCTATACATGCCTCTTAGAACATGCACGTACCCACATGTACACATACACACATAATGAATAAATGTGGGGTTTTTGTTGGGGGTTTTTTTTGTTTTGTTTTTTTGGTCTTTTTGAGACAGGGTCTCCCTGTAGCCCCAGCTGTCCTGGAGCTCATTATGTAGACCAGGCTGGCCTTGAACTCACAGAGATCCACCTGCCTCTGCCTCCCGAGTGCTGGGATTAAAGGTGTGCACCACCACACCCGACATAAATGTAATTTTTTAATGCAAGATATTAGTCTAGAGAGATGGCTCAGCATTTAATAGCACTGACTTCTCTTGCAGAGAAGCCAGTTTCAGGGGATCCAGTGCCCTCTTCCGACCTCAGTGGCCACTGCATGATACAAGTGCATGTACATACATGCACACATTACATGCATACATGTGGAATAAAATAAAAATAACATTTTTTTAATGCAAGGTATTGGCCAGGCATGGTGGCACACACCTGTAATCCCCACACTTAGGGAGCTGAGGCAAGATGATTTTATGTTCAAGATCTGCTTGGGCTACACAGTTTCAGAAAATCTCCAATAAACAAATACAAAAATGGGTTGAGCTCTTGAACAAGAATTTCTCTATGGAAAATGGCACACACCTTTAATCCCAGCACTTGGGAGACTCAGGCAAGGGGATTCCAAATTAAAGGTCAGCATGGGCTATATAGCGAGATACTGATTTGTTCATTTTATGGGTGTGAGTGGGCACCCAGTTGTGCCACTGGGAGTGTGTGGCGGTCACAGGACGCCTTGCAGAAGTTGGTTTTCTTCCACTATGTGGGTTTCAGGAATCAAACTCGGGTTGTCAGGCTTGGCTGTAAGCACCTTTACCTGCTGAGCCATCTTGTGGGCCCCTTTTTTATTTTAGCCCATGCTCTCTGTTATCTTGCATGCCCTTTCCTCACTGGTCTGCAGAACTCATCCCTCCTCTCTTCCTCTGGGAAGCCGATCCTGCTTTCTGAACCACCCCCACAGCTGCTTCCTCTGGCACCACCCCCCACTCAGGGCTTCTGATGGGAGAGTCATGAGCCCTCTGCACTGAGCTGCTGAGTACTGCTAGGCTGCCTGTGGCTGTGCTTAGTACTCACAGCTCCGGGTAGGGGACACGTGCTTGGATGGAACCAGCCATGTGCCCTGGTGACTATGAACTCTGATGGTCTGTGAACCCCGTGACGGAAGGCCAGCTGGCAGTGAACTCCGACGGTGTGTGCACCAAGGCCAGCTCGCAGGCCCTGATGTGGCTCTGCAGCCTTGGTAGCTCGAGTCTCCCTTGCTGTCCTCCGTGCTTCCCGTTCTCTCCTCCACAGGGCGTGCCTTGGCCATCCCTGCTGAAGCCCACACCCGCCCTGAGCCCTCTCCTCTTGTTTCTGGCCATCAACTTGTCATTTCTCGTAAATCAGTTAATCACCTACCTTTGTCTGCTCCCTACCAGAGTGCAAGCTCTGCTTCAGCCTCTGTGCTAAATGGGGGCGCACACGCTAGAGACCTAATTGACATAGGACGGGAAGCTGAATGTGTGGATGATGAGGCTGGGAGATAGCTAGACTGGTAAAGTGCTGGTCACACAAGCGAGAGAACCTGAGTTTGGACTGCGTGGCACGCACCTGTATATCATCCCTACACTAGGAAGGCAGAGACAGAGGATCTCTGCAGCTCCTCAGAGAGACCCCGTCTCAAAAATAAGATGGATGTTGAAGACCCTTGGCGTTGACCTCTGTCTTCCACCTGTGCACATGCACAGTACACCGCATCCACTACTCACACACATAAGAAAAAAACAGATGTGGATGGTGAATGAACGGAAGGAAGAAGGCACGGATATATGGACAGAATCCATCATATGAATGGTCACGGAGTGAATGGCGGAGTGGATGACAGTGTTCTTGATTACTGATGTATAAGAAGTCACTTGCTGCCCCTTGGTTAACCCCTTTGCTCTCTGGGGTTATAATCTAGACTGTTGAGCTTCTAGAAATCCTCATTGTCTGGTCCAGTATAACTTGTTGTGCTGTGTACAGTTCAAGCAGTAAGAATGTCTGCCCGTTCTTCGTGCATGATCACCAGCAGCATTTCTGCACCTCCTGTCTTTCAGGTGGCAGAGCGGGCACTGTATTACTGGAATAATGAATACATTATGAGTTTAATCAGTGATAACGCAGCAAAGATTCTGCCCATCATGTTCCCATCCTTGTACCGCAACTCAAAGACCCATTGGAACAAGTAAGAAGGAACAGTCATCGATTTCCAGTTTTTAAATATTACATGTCTTATCATTGCAATTAGAGTTAAAATCTGAATTTAATATCATTTATTTTTAATCTGAATGTAATATCATCATTTATTTTTAATTTAATATCATCAGGCTTGGCATGTTAGCATACTCCTTTAATTCCAGCACTCGGGAGGCAGAGGCAAGTGGCTCTCTGTGAGTTCAGAGCCAACCTGGTCTACATAACGAGTTCTAAGCCAGCTGGGACTACATAGTGAAACCCTCCCTGAATCAAAGAACAAAACACAACAAAAAGTGAATCCGTTTCTTTGTGATTTCCCAAGCTAAGCAACAGTGTAGACTGTGGCCTTTTGTTTCACCCCCATGCCAGGCTGGTGCAGAAGACTATCTGCACCTGTTTCCCTGCTGGTCTCAGCAATAGCACCTTCTCGGTCTCAGGGGGCGGGGCGCGGGGCAAGGGAGTTTGAAGGTCACAGCATAGCTCATGGGGCTCAGTTCTGGGGGAACATAGTGGCCAAACACCAACCCTTAGGAGATCCTTCACGCCCTCTGACTTGAGGGGAGCCCCTCTCTGGTAACCCCCAGGGCTCCCCTGTTATGGCTAGGATATGGAAGGTGAACAGGAAGAGCAGATGACTCAAACACATCCTGAGGAACAAACAGCATTTGGGCCTTTCCACTTCTTGAGGATGAAGAAGTCCGTTCAGCCAGTGAAAGCTCTCTGAGACCTTGGAAGGAAACTCCATATGGGTGCCAGATTGCGTTTACTGCTAAGCTTCATACTTGTGTTAGCCAGTCGGATGCGGATGCTGGAGCAGTTTCTCCTTCCCTCCGTGGTTATCGTAATAAATAAAGCCTTTCCGTTATTGCCATCTATATAATTTACCCATAATTGTTTTCGGGCATCTGCATTTTCTATTCAGTCTCCAGGCAAAGTGGCTTTGGCAGCTATTAGGCAGGAAGGTGAACTTCATGGCCTAGCAAGTGCCTGCAGGCCTGACTCGGAGAACAGGCTGAGTCAGAACTCATAGCCATGGTGTCACGGCCTAGCACGCTGTGGGGTAGGGGCCGAACAGGTCAAGGGGTCTGGGAGGCTTGGAGGGAAAGGAGATGTGATCCGAGGCAGCGAAGGGTGAGAGAGGCCAAGGGTGCTGTTGTCACTGTGATGTTCCCTCTGCAGGACAATACACGGCTTGATATACAATGCCCTGAAACTCTTCATGGAGATGAACCAAAAACTCTTCGATGACTGCACCCAGCAGTTCAAAGCAGAGAAACTGAGGTGAGCGAGTCCTCGCACAGGTCGCTGGCTCCAGGGTGGTTTGGTTTGGTTTTCCTTTTTTATCTTATTCCTGGAAACACGCTACCACTGTTGTTTGTCCTAAAAAGTTATTCTTCACCTTAAACTTGTGGAGAAATACCATTCTGCTCTGGCTTAGAGAGCAGGTTAGTGATGACTGTTACCAAAGGGCATGTGTTTAAGGCAGAGTCCTCACTTTCTATTACTAGATGAGTCATTTTTGCCTTTCTCAGAGTGCTGTTTACGTGCATTTGAGGACTTCAGAGGCCACATCTGCCCAGGGACTGTCAAGGTGATGAGGCACTCTGTCCCTAGGCTGGGCACATAGTCATATGATTAGTTATGAAAAAATCACTTGGGGCTGGCAAGATGGCTTAGTGAGTAAAGGTTCTTACATTGTACAGCCTAATGACCTAAGGTCAACTCCCAGAACCCATGTAAAGGTAGAACTCCACAGAGTTGTCTTCTGACCTCCATGTGCACACCATGGCACGTGCTTACACACACACACACAATTTTGTTTATATCATTTCTATAAACCACTCTTCAGGCAGGGCAGTATATGCTTATAATCCCAACATTCAGGAGGCTGAGACAGGAAGATTGCTGCAAGTTCAAAGCCAGTCTGGGCTATGTAGTGAAACCCACCCTGTCTTGAAAGAAAGAAAGGAAGTAAATAAAGTCACTCATCCTGATCCCGAGCTGTTGGCAGGTTTCACTCTGTCATGTTAGAGTGGCTGAGGCAGACACACTACAGTGTACAGCCAACCATTATTTATTCATGGTTTAGACAAACAGTTTTAGGTGTACCTCAGACTCTGCGGTACCAAGCCTGGTAAGACAGCCGTGGGTAAAACAAAAGCCCCTGCCATAACGGCAGGTGAAGTAGAGCAGCCTGGGAGGAGCCAGGATGACACCAGAAGATGTACTTGCAGGAGGTTTCGTTGTCATCATCGTTTTAAGAACTTAAAATCTTACTAAAGTTTTAGCATTCTAACTTTTTGAAATCTTTTTTCTAACTCTTGGCCAGTTCTTGGTTTTGTTTTCACACTGCACATGTTGGAGCAGCAGTATAAGACTTGTGGACTTCACTGGGCGTGGTGGCCCACGCATTTAATCCCAGCAGAGGCAGGCGGAATCTCTGTGAGTTCCAGGCCAGCCTGGTCTACATAGTGAGTTCCAGGACAGCTGGGGCTACATGGAGACCTTTTCTCAAAAAGACCAACAAAAGACAGGAAAGCAGCACCAGGAAACATGACTGAGTTGCTGAGCGTCTCCAAGCCTTTACCTGTAAACTTGCCAGCTGTGATTTGTCTCTAATACGAGTGACATTTGCTATTTTTCAGAGAGAAGCTAAAAGTGAAAGAGCGAGAAGAAGCGTGGGTTAAGATAGAAAATCTAGCCAAAGCCAACCCCCAGGTACTGAACAGAGTGACGTGAGCACCGTGAATGTGTGATGGGATAGGGGCCTGGCTTCACTAACACTGTATATGGAAATGTCCACAATAAAAGTATTTTCGATTTTGTTACCCTCCTCTTGTAGAAGTACTTCTTTTGCCCCAGAAAATTTTTACCACAGATTGACTTTTTTCTCTTTTTAAATAAGATATGAATCTTCTGAGTGTGCTGTGGTAAAAAGAAAATCAGGTTGTAACCCTACGATTGTAATTTACTTTCTTGCATACTTGTACAGGTAATAGAGCTCAAACCATAGTTTGATTTGTTTTCATATGAAATTCTAAAAGAAAAGAAATTGTTTATAATAGATTAATTATGCTGTTGATATCCTCTGCTAACCTCAGTAGGTTCAGTCTTTAGTTGTACAAAACTAACTGAACTCTACCCCGTTCACACTAGTCCTTCTTCCACCCTCGCTGATGCCAGTATGCTCACACAAGGTGCGGTGCGACACAGACAGTCGATCTGCTGAGCTGCTGCCAGCTTCCTACACGGCATTAGCTCTTGGGCTGGCTCTGTGTCTGGGAAGGTTTTGTAACGTGGTCCTTTGGTTTTCTGTCTGCTTGTCTAAATGATGATAGTGTTATTACTGGTGTTTTTCCTAGTTGTGTGTGTATGTCTGATTATAACACAGGCACTTAATGAAAATCACTTGTCTGATCTTCCCTCAGCTCTCCAGGGGAGAAAATACTTTACTAAACAATGTATTTCACTTTGTGAGAGGTGTGCGTAGATAATTACTGCGATCTCTGGCGTTAATAAAAACAGTGCATGAATACGAAGGTGGCAGTGTGGCTTTTCCTGCGTAACAACATGCTGCCCTGCGTTCCCTTGGAGACTTAAGCCAAGGAACCCAAATGAGGTTTCAGGTACAGGTCTGTGGCTCCACCTAAAGAAACAGACTCACCATGCTACAGAGAAATGCTCCTCTAAGGTCTATAGTGTAACTACAGGGATCTGTTCTTACAAATAGAATTTATGTTGAAAGCGAAGCTTTGATTGATACTTGTTTTAAAACACAGTAAAGTCGGAGACCTGGGTGGGGCAGGTTTAGTGGCTCAGACTTGGGGGTCTTGCTTTGTTCTGGAGGGCCAGGCTAAGAAGGTGTGCAGCCTTGGGAAGCATGTAGCATGTGCACAGATCGCAGTGTCTGTTTTTATTTGCTCTGTCTAAAATGTAGAAAGGATCTGTTAAATGAACTGCATAAAGCTTATCCTTGCAAACCAAGAGTGTTGTATTAGCACACGTGGTCTGGTCTCAGCACTGCACTGCAGCAGAAGTTCCTGGTTTATCACTTTTGATCACTCTTTAGACTGTGACAGTGGCATACCTATGGCGGGCTTGGCATTGGCGCTTTGTTGACCTCCCTTCTCACTGTCCTCCCCATCTCTGTGTTGAACCATCTGTGATAGTCAAGTCCTGTCCACATGTTCCAACCCCATGGCGCAGCGTCTGCAAATCGGAAAATACTTCATGTATTAAGACCTCAGGGGTGGAATAGGGCCTTAGAACTCGGTTTCTTTCTTGATAAATTCTGTTTAGTATGTGCCATTATAACCATCAATTTGGTGGTGGACATGTGGGTTTTGGTGGGTTTTGAAGTAGTTTTCCATAACAAATCAGCCGTGGAGAGTAGACTTGGACTAAGGTTCCTGTAACTCACTGTGTTCACTGGTGTCTATGGAGGTGTCTTCCCAATGCTGACCCTTGTATTTACAGACCAAGCAAGCCTCTCATCCACTCAGCGTGTGAAGCACCCCTCACAGGCTGTGGGGACAGAGGAAGCCGTGGCACCTTAAGAGACTTGTGCTGTTTGTTCTGGCAGCTGTACTGGCCTCCTTGGCTTTTCCATGTCACGATTGGTGTGAAATTCTAAAACATTCTAACAAGGACATGTTTTTCCTAACCCACCAAAGAGACTGTAGGGCAGACATCTTAGCACTCATCGCCCTTGCCCGGATGCTGCGTGAGGGCAAAGTGCTTCTGTGAGGTGCAGGTACAGCTGCGGCCCATGGCAAGTGACGCCCATGTGCTAGGGAGACACCTCTTTGGAGGCCTGTACGTTCTCACTCTCCTGTGAGCCGCTGCCTCTTGAAAGCTGTGCTCCCTGTGGGAAGCCCCCGCACTGGCTGTGACCAGGCGCAGCCTCCCCGCTGCACGTGTGGAAGGGGCTGTGTTTCTCCTGAGGCAGCCAAATGCTGAAACATTGGTTTCAGAACAGCTCCCAGTACTGTCTCACAGTGACAGAAGTGGTCTCTGTGTCTCCTCCCGACCTGCAGCCCTTCCAGGACAAGGTGTCATTTGTGCTTAAATGAATGTGGAAATTTCTAGCAATACAAAGATCAGAACCAGACTCCTAGAAGCGGAGGGTCCAGGGCGGTCCGATCATACATAGCACGCACTTGAGGACTGTGCTTGAGATGGTCAGAGAAGCTGGGGCTCATGTCTTTAGAGAGATTCAGAAAGAAATGGCACTGGTGCGAGATGGGCACTGGCCCAGCACAGGGTAGGGCTTAGGGAGTCCTGACCCCACAGCTGTCACCCAATCTGCATTCGGGGCAGGGACCCAGGGCTTGCCCCGAGGCAGATGCTATAATGCCAGAGAAGGGGCAGAAGCCACGGGCATTTAGCCCTCCAACTGTGCATAAAGGGCAAAGTGGCCTGGCAGACTCGTGCTTTACAAAGCTCTGTGGTAGCAGGGGCAGTGTGCTGGAAGAGTAGGCCCAGAGTGTGTGCAGAGGACACTGCTAAGCAGAGCAGGTGGCACCTAAAGGAAGAAATGGCTCCAGATGCCACTCCAGCGAGGGCACAGCGGAGGAGAGTAAAGTGAGTGCACGGTTAGTGTCCAGGAGGCAACTTGTTAGAAGTGAGAACAGAGCCAGACTGAGCGGAAACGCTGGTCAGCACGGGTGGAGGCCCAGGGGCTGGGCTCAAGGCCAAGCTTCCCCCTCGGGCCTCCCGGCAGTGCATACTTCTCAAGGGAAGTGTGACCTACGGAGAGAAAAGCTCTGTCCCTCCCTGTCCTTATAGAGACAGCAGGTGCCACAAGGCTCACAAGCTATGGTCACATCCCTCCGCTCACAAAGCCTTAAGTTAGTGGGGCCAGGGTTTGGGTAGGCTAGGAGCCATCTACCATTCCAACCTGCCTGACATACCCAGAGCACAGAGAATAGAGACCACATTGGAGAGGCAAGGACACATCAGCTGAGCGAAGGTCCCCGTGATACAGAGATCAGGATGTCAGGGTAGAGGGACCAGCAGTAATCCAGATTGTTTGTTTGAGTGGCAGGCAGGATGCTGAGGATTTTTCAAAAAGGTTTAAGAAACCAGAAAACAGTGAGGAAATGGAATGAGAGGAGCTGAGGGCAGCAGCCCCAGGAGGTGGCGGGAGAGTGAGGGAGAGAACCATGGGGCATGTTGGCAGACGGCATGCAGAGAACAAGGTGAGACGTGACAGTGTCCTCTGCGGGCGCACCCCTTCACATTTAGTGACTGTCAGAGGTACAGGAGGGTACAGGCTAACTAGCACCCAGGCACAGATGAGGACTTCATCTGTGGATGTAGGGAGGATGTAACAGTGACTTTGGGGCTAGCCAGGGACCATTCCGTGGCCTGGAGTTGTCCAGCAGGCAGCAGCAGTGGCCCGGTGTGTCTCCCACCACATGGGCTTCTTGCCAAAGAGGGCCCCAGGGAAGGGCAACAGAGAAATGTCTCCCTGTAGGATGAGAGCCCTGAGTGTCAACCCAGCACCTAACAGAGAGTGACTCCGTACTTTGCATTGCAGTATGCAGTGTATAGTCAAGCCAGCATCATGAGCATTCCGGTTGCAATGGAGACAGATGGGCCTCAGTTTGAAGATGTGCAGATGCTGAGAAAGACAGTGAGCGACGAGGCTCGTCAGGTAAAAGTGCACTGAGCTCAGCAGGGCTGTGCCCACTGCGGACATGCTGGAGAAACACCATCACATTAGTAGGTCTTCTGCTTAGGCTAAAGTCTAGTTCACTGTAGCAATCTACCAGGAAACGTTTGTCTACAGGCCTTAGACCAGCTGTAGAAACAGTTTGTAGTGGCTGTGTGCCTGCAGTTTGTTGCTTCACTTACTTTAGCGGCAGTAATCCCACTCATAACTATGCATTAAATGTTAACTTCAGCAAAACCCAAAGCTTTGCAGTTATACCTTGCCATGCCCCTCACTTTTCCCTTTGCAGCCCTCTCACGTCTGCTCTGGCCCAGAGATACTTCCCTTCAGTTCCCGATAGCAGATGCTAACACCCCCCACCTCCCAGGGCACCAAAGGAGGAGGCTTGGCCTCCTCCAAGGTCCAGGGCCTCTGGTAAGCCAGGGGCTCTGCCAGGAACAACTCTAGTGATGCTGTGCCTGATGTCCATCCTATTGTGGCAATACTCTTTAGAGCAGTATGATCCAGAGAGGACCTCCCGCTGCTCCGTTGAGAGCGTGCACAGATTAAGCTCCAAAGAGGGCAGTACTCTGAGCTCCTCTTTGGGTCTGAAGCGCCTACCTCTCTTTGGGCTCTTTAAGTTTCAAGTATGTATAAACAATGTCCTAAATGGACCTAGTGGTACTAGTCACTCTGACTTACAGATTTTAGCCTCCATTGTCAGGACTCCTAAAGACTTTAGCACTCAGATTCTGAAATGTCAAAGAAAACCCCCCACCTCCATGCCACACTGTCTACAGAGGGTATGAAAGTACCAGTGTCCTATGCAGCCAAGCTAAATAAACAGAGGGCTTTTCTGGTCTATTTTGTTTGATTCAAGTAAACCCTCACCTGGTAAGATAGGATGAGGCTTTGCCCAAGAGGACAAGAAGCCCTGAGTGGGCCCCAGCACCCCAGAGCACTGGAAACGGGGCCCTGTGAACGGTCTCAACACCCAGATGCATTCCTAGGCCTGTGAGGAGAGGAGACTGGCAGTGTCTGGTTCATAATTGTGATCATGCACTGAAGGGTCACCTTTTGAGAGTACTGGGTTAAATAACATATGAAGATGCATGTAACATGGCTGCTGGATTTGGAAAGACTACAATTCGACTAGGGATCAGTCGATTCCATACTTTGCTCATAATGATTATTCTTAGCAATGAGTAGATCTCATCAAAAATAACAAAAGTCCAGCTGGGCATAGTTTCAAGGCCTGTAGCCCAGGACTCAAGAAGCCAAGACAAGAGAATCCTGAGTTCAGCACCAGCCTGGTCTACATAGCAAATTTCAGGCCAGCCAGGGATACATAGTGAGACCCTGTTTAAAATCATAATAATAAAAGATCAAGAGCACTAGCCAGGTTAGCATTTGAGTCATTGCCTTTGACCAGGGGCTCTGGTGGTATCAGGCAGCTGGTATGGAGCCTCCCAGCTGCTGTCCATCCTCTACCCATTGTGGTGGCTTGTCCTCTTCCGGCAGAACCATCTGGGGACTCTAACCAGCTTTGCCAGAGTTGCTCTAGGAGAACACCGTGTCATGTTTTCATTCCTTGTTTTTGTGATTCTTGAAATTGCATTATATTGTTGCATTTTCTGTGTAATTAGCATTTTTACAAAATTACTCCTCCACCTCACCTTTAAATTTGTGTATTGTCCTCCTGATTCAGAAGACCTGATGCCATAGGAAAGCCAGTTCTCCCCAAATTAACTTGACAGCCATTCGAGTCTCAGCAGTCATTTTTTTTTTTTTTCCTTTAAGAAATTGACAAGCTGGGGCTGGAGAAATGGCTCAGGTGTTAAGAGCACTCACTGTTTTCTTGCAGAGGACCCAAGTTTGATTCCCAGCACCCACGTGACAGCTAACAACTGTCCTAACTCTAGTTCCAGGGGATCCCATGCCCTCCTCTGACCTCCACAGGCACTGCATGATACGGGTATCCTTACATACATGCAAGGAATACACTCATACGTATTACAATTAAAATAATTTTTTTAAAAAGTTTTAAGAAACTGACAAGTTGGGGGGCTGGAGAGATGGCTCAGTGGTTAAGAGCACTGGCTGCTCTTGCAGAGGACAGAGGTTCTGTTCCCAGCACCCACATGGAGGCTAACAACCATCCATAACTCTAGTTCCAGGGGAATTTGGCGCCCTCTTCTGACCTCAATGGGCATTGCATGACACAGGTGCACCTATTTACATGGCAGTACACTCATACACATAAAAATATTTATTTTAAAAAAAGAATTGTCTAGCTGGGGCAAGAGACGTACCTGAGTTGGTAGTAGTACTTGCCTAGCACAAAGCCTGGGCACACTGCTAGTGTGACGTGACCTGGGCATGGTGCACACACCTGGAATCCCAGCACTTAGGGATGCAGAGGCAGGAGGATGCCAGCATGACATGACCTGGGTACCGTGCACACGCCTGGGATCCCAGCACTAGGGATGCAGAGGCAGGAGGATCAGAAGTTCAAGGTCATCCTGGGCTACTTGAGACACTGTCTCCAAAACCAGTCAGCTGATTATAAAGTCAGGAGATTTTAGAGACAGGAGAACATGCCACATGCCAGGTGTGCTGGCACATGCCTCTAATCCCAGCACTTTGGAGGCTGAGGCAGGAGGATTATGAGTTGAGGCCAGCCTGGGCTACATATGGAGACTGCAGCTCAAAAAGCAAATGAAGTTACAGCTGAAAAGTAAGCTGGAGGTTTTACATGTGGTTATGTGGGTATTCTCAGTCCCCTTCAGTTTCATGTTCCGCTATATGCCAACGGGATTCCATGTTTCTTTAAGTGGGTTTGATTATCGGATCAGGACAAGGTGAGTGGTAACTAGTGGTTCTGCTGAAGAGGGCAGACAAGGGACCCTCATGCTAAGGAAGGTGCTTGGTGGGCCGAGGGTTTGTGGAGAAATTCAGTTACGTACTTACCCGTCAGAACCACAGCTTGGGCTTCCTTTGAGAAACTTGTGTAACCCCATAGAGAACCCCAAAAACAGGAAGAAAGTTTCACTAGACTAGCATTGATGTCAGGTATGTTTAAAATGTTTACAATTCTCGTTTTTAACAGTTGGTTGGGGGAAAAGTAATGTCGACCGCACAAGTAAGGAAGGCAGAGACGGAAGGTGGGCAGTGCAGGTACTCCTCACTAAATACGTAGAGTGCTTAAGGCTTCGTGTCTACAACATACTGATGCGTTAACGGGTGTACATGAAGTATTTTCCATTCTTTCCACATCATTACTGCCTATGATGGTCAAGACAAAGCAAAAGAAATGTAGTCCCCTCAAAAGCCAATCAGTTCTGCCCCAAATTAAGTAGTAAAGCTTGAATTTACAAAAAAATAAGGGAAGCATGCACGGTGGTGTGTTCCCAGCCAGTGACCTCTCCCAGGACCTCTAGTGCCCGCCATTCAGACCTGCCAGCATGCCCGGCCTCACGTATCTCTTGAGGAGCTGTCTCAGGCCAGCGTTTCCCAGCTTCCTCGCCGCCGCCCCCCCCCGCCCCGTCCTTGCCGCATGCTGCCAGCCATCCTCTCAAGTCTTGCTCACCTAGACAACCATCTGCATGTTGTCTTTCCTGCCTCCTGTTTCTCTCGGTACCCCTCTCTGCTTCAGATCCGTTGGTTTGAGATGTTAAGTAGAGAGGCCCCTTGTGTGTCCATCAGCTTCCTGCATGCAGAAGTCTGACTGGTGTGGTCTCCTCAGTTTGCCTCCACCATCCCAGCCCCAGGGCTTGAGTGTTGTCTCTCTGTTAAGATGTTTCTTCTCTGAAGTGCCTGTTCCAATGGTATTTACAATATTTCATGTATATAAAAATGTTGGTTTGCCTCAAAATGGGCTTATAATCGGGTGGAGCTTCACCTCTGAGTTTCTGATGGATTGAAAGCAAACCTGCTTTCCAAACTAAAGTGCTTTCAAATGCCAAGAATAGTGGTGCACACCTATGATCCCAGCACTTGCAAGGTTAAGGCAAGGGGATCATGAGTTTGAAACCAGCCTGGGCTCCCTAGCAAAACCTTCTGTCAAACCCATAAATGCTTCCTAATGAGCATGGTGACTGCTGTGACAGACTGTCTCTAGGGGACTCGTGACATTCACCAACTCCTGCCGTGGGTGATCTTAACACCATCTCTCACTGGTTTCCAGGGAAGGAAAAGCCAGAAGCTGTCCTTAACATGGTAAATGTTAATGTTCGAGTTACAGTTCTAGAAATAGTCCTAAAATCGTGTCAGACAAAATGGTTCTTAAACCTCGCTGCTGCTCCTGCAGCTTTCACAGGCAAATTGGCAAAGGCGCCTGAGCAGTGCAGGCCTCCCTGTCCTGACGGCGCAGGTCCTCGGATTGCCCTTTACAGCAGTAAGAGCATTTTACTATGCACCTGTCAGGCATCTGGACACAGCAGCCGTTCACTCATGCTCTTTCTGATGTCAAATAATTGACTTTTTTTTTTGAGACAGGGTCTCCCTGTAGCTCCAGCTGCCTGGAACTCGCTATGTAGACCAGGCTGGCCTGCCTCTGCCTCTGCCTCTGCCTCTGCCTCCCAAGTGCTGGGATTAAGGTATGCGCTGCCACGCCCAGCTTTTTCTTTTTTAAATCCCTAACCAGGTGTGGTTGCATGGCCTTTAATCCCAGCACTTGGGAGACAGAGGCAGGTGGATCTCTTGTGAGTTTGAGGCCAGCCCGGGCTACAGAGGGAGACCATCAAAAACAAAACACAAAAAATCCCTAAACTTAAGGCAGAGAATGGACCAAGGGAGGGGGAAGCTTTTCATTTTTTTATCCTTAATACTGGGAGTTTTATGAAAATGAGTTTCTCTGAGTGCACAAGGGTTTGTCCCCACATTTAATTCCTATTTTTAAATAGCCTTTTTTTAAGTTTTATTATTTTTATTTTGTGTGTATGCGTGTATTGCCTGCTTGTAGGTAAGCACACCCGTGTCGTGCAATGCCCACAGAGGACAGAAGAGGCTGTCGGATCCCCTGGAACTGGAGTTACAGACAGTTGTTAGCTGCCATGTGGGTGCTGGGATTCGAACCCGGGTCTTCTGCAAGAACAACTAGTGTTCTTAACTGACGAGCCATCTCTCCAGCCCCCTATTTTAAATAACATTTTGAGATTTTTTTTGATAGACATTTTAGCTCTCTTGCTGGTTTTAAATATAATTCATTTTTCAATCATTCTGTGTTCTTCCAAAGGAAATTACTGCTTTCCGAACTGCCTCTGTAGCACACACGGTCGGTCATAAGGTGAGATGGGTGTTGTGAAAGAGGAGGTACTTAGGGGAGCCACAGAAGCTGGTGAATTCTGCAGATACTAGCATTGCAGAAGACCAGCACTGTCACAGAGCTCCATGTTCTAGTCATTACACCACGTTTAGTGGGTTAGCTGGTTTCCGGGCCTGGCCTGTGGCCGCGGCGTGGAGGTGAGCCCCTTGCCTCACGCCCTCCGGCCTCTCGGCTCAGAAGCGAACACCCTCCTCAGGGAGCTTCGCCCCAGCCAACTCCATCGCATTTGTAATTCCAGGCACAGAAAGATCTGAAGAAGGACCGTCCTCTTGCGCGCCGCAAGTCCGAGCTGCCTCAGGACCCCCACACCAAGAAGGCCTTGGAAGCTCACCGCAGAGCTGACGAGCTGGTGTCCCAGGACGGGCGCTAGCCTCGAGCACCGTGGAGCCGGGCCTGCCAGCCCTCCTGGATGCTGTAGGAAACCCATACTGTTTGTGCCATACCAGTCAGTTACACTCGAAGTCCAAGCTCCCTTCGGCCCCGTTCTGTAGGCAATAACCCACGTCCGCCTCAGCTCAGCTCGAGATTAGGAGTTCAAACAATGGTGGCTTCTCTGGCCCCGCTGGCCAAGCCACTGGTTGACAACAGTGCCTTCAGTGTTGTCGCCAGCCCAGCATGGCCCTAAGTGAGACTGTGCCCCCGAGTCAGGGCTGTAGGAAAGCACCCTGGTCGTCATCTCCGCGTCCCACCCAGTGGAACCTGTGGTCCTCTAAAATAGGTGGTTCTGTGGTAATACCAATGATTTTCAAATCTAAGGACACTTTTAAAAGTATTTCCTATTTCTCTGAGACTTTACAGCCTTTGAAGTTGTCTCCACACGGTTGCCGCACCAGCAGCTTCCGTCTGCTGCTCAGATCTCCCAGAATGGCCGTTTGGCCTCACCCTGGCGGCCTGCCGGGAAGGGACCACCACCCCCAGCCCTGGCACCCGGCGTCTCCTCCCTTTGATGAGTGGCACTCACGCCACGCCCTGCTTCTCTCCTGTCCACCGAAAGCCATACTCCCTAGTCTGCGGTAGCGCCCAGGGTTCCAAAGTAAGCTCAGAGGAGGAGGTTGATGAAAAGCACTTTCTCAGTCCACCTTGACTGGAATTGGGATTTTTAAATTATGTCTTCATATTTTTATTGACAGAATCGGTTTTTTCATCTACTTACACATTGCTATCCTTCAGGAAGGCTCTTGACTCAAAATTATAGCGCCTAAGAATTCTGTATTTGTGGAAAGTTACAATGCATTAAGCCACTTGGCCCAATGCAAACCGCAGCTACCTTTGGGCATAAAGTACCAAACAGCGCTGCAGGCGTTGGGCCAGGGCACCGCTCGTGCTGTGAGGAAGCAGCAGAGAGGGCTGGTGAGCCTTTCTCTGTGTGGGGAGAGCACGTGTCAACCTCATGAGGAAAGTGCAGTGACTGCGTTTTATCTTCAAATGCTGCTATGTGTCCCCAGACTTCTTGCATGGACTCGGCTTTTGTTTTAGGTGGAATAGCACAAGGAGAAATCCCTACGCTTAGTGCTTTGTCTCCTTTAGTCTCTCAGGGTGGCCAGTATTTGGACTTACTTATCCTGCTTGAAAGCTACTTGAGACGTGTACTGCTATTCTGAACAGTGACTAGTTTCTTTTGTCTCTGACATATATATAACTTGATGTTTAAATGTCTTGACGCATAAGAGGTAAAATGTGGCTTCTTTGCAGATCTGTTTTTAATCGTGGTCTTGGGTATTCATGAAAAGATTGTGAAATCAGACATTGCTCCTATGCTGCCACAGAGCCCCACTGCCCGGGGTTTCCTTAGATCCACTGACGCCCCTCACTCCTTGTGTCGGGGAGGAAAGGCATCTCCAGGGATCAGCCAGCCAGCGGGAGCAGTAAATGGAAAAGTGGCCCCAGCTGAAGGTGGACAGGTTGGTCCTTGGTGAGAAGTACACTTCCTGAGAAACTTGACAAGTATCTATCCATTTTACCATTGTGACATCTATAATTAAAAGAGTTGAGATGCCTTCTCCTTTGGAGGGAAAGGGTGCTTTTATTGTACACAGCAGCGTCTATGTATTTTGATATACCATGGTTTGAACTCTCGTCTTTAGCTGATAGATTCTCAGATAATCCCTGATGTGGGGTGTCCTGTGTGTGGTGAGAGGTTCTGGGAGACTCCTTTACCTGGGTGGAAAGCAAGCTGTCAGTGTCCGAGTGACTGTGTGAAGCTCAGCGTGTCGGGACATCTTCTGGCCCAGGTTTTGTCTCTGCCCTTTACTGAAGACAAACATTCACCAATAAGGGGGTTGGAGGGGAGGTGGAGACAGTTTTGAGAGAAACTAATTTTCTTTGACAAGAGTATTACTTAATATTTTGGCCTATTAAAGTTTCCCTAGTTAGTACTCGGATTCCTTGTGCTAATTGTTCAACTTACATATTATTATATAGATAACTGTTTATTCTGTACCAAACGGATTTCAAAAGTACCACATTGAAAATAAACTGGTGACTGTTTTTCTTCATAAAGCTCTGCGTTTGGCACCTTCACTCTTTCCAAAATGTGTCTGTGCACCAGAAATGTCACAGTTCAAGTGTCTTTTCAGTGTGGCTTTCGTATGGCTCCCTTTTAATATTGTACATACATTGTATCTTTGTTTTATGGTAATAAGTAATAAAAATGTAGACTTCATAATTTTGTACAAAATGTCCTATGTACAGAATAAAAAAAAGTTCATAGAAACAGCAAAATAGGTAAGTGGCACAATTATTTTTCTTTAGAAAATATCTGTAACTTTATGCTTTAGTGAAATGTTAAGTACCAACATATTTTTTAACATTTTGTAATTCAAAATTTTTTGTTTTGACATTGTTTATGAAGAAAGACTTCATACACTTGCCATTTAATATGCTCTTTTATCTAATTTTAAAGAACTCTTTAAAATGGTGTATTATATGGACTAAATAAAGAACATGTGAATTTTATTGCTCATCATGCAACTAAATTTAGCCTTGGCATTGGGCAGGCTGGTTCCGACACACCAGGTTACTGTCAGGTCAGGGGCCTGCCACTCCAGGGATACTGGCTTGAGGTGGGAAGCAGGTGTCCTTTGTCATCCCCCAACCCCACCGAGTGCAGACTGTGCATCACCTCTTAGTCAAGGCTCCTCAAAGCTGCTCCTGTAAACCACCCTTTCACCTCTTTAACTGAAGACAGGAGCAGCTCTTTACAAACAACACTCACTTTTTGAAGAGGCAGCACGGATGAGAGTCCAGTTGTAGAAAGCGGATTGAGTTCTAACTTCATTGCAGAGCTAAGTGCATAAATGTGGGAGAAGACAGACTTGCTGAAAAGGGGGCTGTGCGTCCCCGTTAGCCCACCTCTCATGGGGGTCCCTCTCCTCCTGGCATAGTTACTCACGTCTGCAAAGGCGTCCAGGACCCTCCCTCTGGGTGCGCTAGACCCACTTTTCCTCAGGCAGGGAAGCATGTCTGGGTGGGTCACCCTGCCCCTCACCTGAAGTCTCTGGGCATCCCTTCTGACCGGAGCTAGGCAGATGGAGGCCAAGCCCCAGGCAGAGGGGAAGCCCAGGAGGTTGGTTAGATGTTAGGTGTAGGGCAGCGACTTAGATCACTGCTTCCTCCGACCAGACAGTGGCCCTCCACATGCTCTTTTACCCTCTCCTCTTGAAATTGGAGTTGGACATGATGTTTGGTGACACCTCACACAGCATGGGAACATGTGTGTGTGTGTGTGTGTGTGTGTGTGTGTGTGTGTGTGTGTGTAATGGATTCGAGAATTTCATACAATTTATTTTTATTATAGTATATCCTCAGCTAGGGCTGGGTCCCCCAACTCCCCCTACAGCATAGGAATTCCTAAGAGGACTGTGGAAAGCTATGCTGTGATTGAGGCCCAGCCAGTTGCTGCATGCTGTGAGAGGATCCAGCAAACTGGCAAGGCTCCACATCTCCTGGGAGAACTGCTGTCACCAGGTCAGTATCGATGGCCACAAGTACTTCTCAGCACTGCCTCCCTGCTGGGGCATGGTCAATGCTGTGCCAGGACATTAGCGCTGTAGATGCCTCTCGTCCTTTGGCTGATCTTCATCCTCATAGCTTACCAGAGTGCTTACCACTCTTCTCATTCACAGCAGAGACTGGGGCGCACAGAGGTCACGTCGTTTTCCCAGGGTCACAGCATTGAGCAGAGCCAGGTCTCAACTCACACCCCCATAACCCCATTGTAGGAAGGCTGGCCCCTTGGTGTGCCACGGGAACAGTGAGCACAGATTAGGACCACGTTGGCTGTGGAAGCAACAGGTGGACAGTGAATCTATGGTCAAAAGTGCCAGGCAGAGGCCCCACATCTGCCTTCACTGTGTAACATAGTAAGCAAGTCCTAGCCCTCCAGTAAGGTCAGAAGTGACCATGAGCTCTCCGTGGGGCCCCAGGATCTGGGGAAGCCTGTGGGCACAGGTGAGCATTGACTGGTCACAGAGACCCAATGGAACCTCTCAAACCCTGTGGCATCACTGTGCTTCCAGGGCTGTTGCTTATTTGTGAATTTAAGAAAACATGCTATACCAAATTTCAGCTCTCTGAAAACTGACACATCAGCCTCTGTCAGTTATCGACATTGTTACTAATACTAACGTGAACCTGTGAAAATTGCTCTAAGGGGCTGGAGAGATGGCTCAGTGGTTAAGAGCACTGGCTGTTCTTGCAGAGGACCCAGGTTCGAATCCCAGCACCCACATGGCAGCTAACAGCCGTCTGTAACTCCAGTTCCAGGGGATCTGATGCCCTCGTCTGTCTTCCTTGGGCATTACACAACACAACACAGGTGCACTTACACACATAAAGGCATAACACTCATATACATAAAATAATTTTTTTTAATTGCCAGTCTGAACTTATTTAATATGTGTCGTTTTACATGATTTGATGAAGGACAAACTAGGTTCCACTACCAAAAGCTTGAAATTAACCAGGTTTAATCTAGTGTGTGTGGCTGGGTGGTTGTTGTTGGGTTTGCGGTTTGTTCTGAGAAGAAAGCAGTGTCCAGTACAAAGGTAGGCTCGTGTTGGTCAGAAGCCAAAGCCCTTTTCCCTCTGCCAGCTCACCGTCTCCTTGTGCTTTAAAGTTTCTGTTTGTTTGTCTTTTCAAGACCAGCTTTCCCATAGCCTCAGCTGGCCTTGAACAGAGAGATTCGCCTGCCTTTACCTCCTGAGCACACTCCACCACACCTAGCCCAGTTTGTATTATTGGGGGGTTTTGTTTTGTTTTTGAGACTAGGTCTCCATCTGTAGCCCAGGCTGACCTGAAACTCCTGCTTGTAGCCTCCCGAGTGCTCAGATTGTAGGTATAAGCCACCCCAGCTTTGCAAAAGCATGTAAATTCTGCAGAACTTTCCGAAAGGAGAGAGGTCAAAAACTAGAATTTACTGGGTTTGGTGGCCCAAGCCTATAACCCTAGCACTTGGGATGCTGAGGAAAGGGGGAGAAGTTTGAGGTCAGCCTGGGCTATATGACACTCTGTCTCTAAACACCAAAAAAATTAGAATGCATCTTCTTTTCTCCCAAGTTTTCTTGGTCATATCCAGTTCAAGGTCAAGTTAGCCTATGTCACTCATGTGGGAACTCTACCAAATACAAGCTGGGCTTTGGAGCTCCCTGGTGTGTATTTTTAGAAACTGATGCATAGCAAACCAATTAGAACTCCTGTAATAAAAGCAGGTGGGAACAGATGTTTCTGATGGTCCTTCAGCACAAGATAATGGAAAAGAAATAGTGGAGGACACAGGGAACCGAGAGCCAGGCAGAGAGCCTGGCGAGCCCCTGGGCTGTGCCCCTTCCACTGTGGACAGCCCTCCACGGGTGCTGTGCATACTCACCCTCACCATAACCTCATCTCCCTTCATTTGTCTTCAAAATGCATCTTGTAGGAAGATGTCTGCCTTAAATTAATCATGGGTTTAGGGCAGCTTGACGTGACTGGGCCAGTGCTTAGCATCCTGCTAGGTCATTTCCTGCAGAATTACCTCCAGGAGCCCCAAGTTCCCCCTTGGGGAGAGGCACCCTGAACCAAAGTTTCCACTCCAGCTAGGGAGCTAATAGACTCCCATGGGTCTGTCCCCCACATGCTTAGACTGTTTAAAAGCTTGTTGAGAGGAAGTCCCCAGTCAGGTGACCCCAGTGGGAGCCAAGTTAGGGTTTTTATCTTCTAAGCAAAAGCAAGAGTGAGGCCCAAGACCAAGTACTGACACCACAGCCCACACATTCAAGACTGACCCCTGGCTATGTGAAATGGCTGATTCTGAGCTGAGAGCAAGTAGGAATGTATGCAATTACTACTGAGCAAATTCGGGCCTTTGATCCGTGTTGTCAGAGTCGGACGGTTCCATGGTGAATGTTTTTGCTAGAAAACCTAAGGGCTCCTTTCAGAATGGTTCATCTTGGGGTTTCAAAAAACTAAAACAGCTTTCTGCATAGAGTGAAATCATTACAAGGCTCTGTGCTGTAATTACAACAGCAGTTTGGCGAGCCAGTGCTCCCCAGGAGCCTGATCTATGCCTGAGGCTTTGAGACTCTGGCTAGAAGGGCTGTTGCAGGGCCTGGAAGTTCCCGTGCCCCCTCAGGCTTAAGAATTTCCTAGAAGGGCTTAGCAAGATGAGGAGATCTGATGTGCTCTCCGTTATGGTTGGCAGCGGTTGAAAGGGGTTGAAAGGGCACAGTAAAGTTGTATGTCATCTGCCCCCAGCCAAACCTCTGCCCTTTGCCTGGCAGAAGAGTATGGCAGCTCACTCAAAGGACTATACACACCTGGGGAGCTCACCTGTGCCTTGAGGGTTAGTCACATACACAGGCTGGTCTTCGTGTCCAGCCCCTCCAGGGGGAGAGCTGATCACAGGTACTCGGGACCACCCTAGACCATATTATCAACATGGCATCGCCCCAGGCTCCAGGTGAACAAAGGCATTCTTACCAGGTAGAACATCAGGGCTCAGCAGCTACCTTTGGGGGCTGGATACAAAGGCTCGCCCCTCTTTGGGGAAAGAACCCATGTCTCAGCAGGTCTCCTCATAAGAAAGGAATAGAATACAGGGATGTTTGAGACCTTGGCCAGGTCAGTGACACATAAGAGTAGTGCTGGGTCCCCTGGTCACATGCGGACCTCTCTGACTTGAAGCTCTTCCCAGTGCACAGCCCCAGGCAAATAGCAAGAAGGGGCTTCAGAGCCTGTGAGATGAAGTTTACAGCTACTGAGAACATGGAGGCCTCCAGAGATGAGCTAGAACGTCCCACTGCAGTGAAGGGTTAGCACCTCAGGCATAGGAGCTAGTCCAGCCCCGGGAGGAATCAAAGCACCTTTGAATAACTAAGAGATGGCTTTTATTTTATATGGGATCTCTTGTGTCCCAAATTGGCCTTAAACTTGCTATGTAGTCAAGGATGACCATAACTTCTAATCTTCCTGCCTCTATCTCCCAAGCGCTAGGATTACAGATACATACCATCATGTCCCGGTGGTTTTTTTTTTTTAATGTGTGTATGAATATTTTTCTTGCATGTATATAGATGTACCACACTGTGCAATGCTAGAAAAGGTCAGAAGAGGGGTTTAGATCCCCTGGAACTGGAGAACTGGACTTAGCTGCCATGTGGATGCTGGGAACCAATCCCAGGTACTCTGCAATATTAACCAGTGCTCTTAAACCATCTCTCCAGCCCCCGTGCCTGGTTTTCGTGGTGCTGGGGATCAAACTCAGGGCTTTGTGCATGCTAAGCACTCTATCAACTGAGCCACAGCCTCAGCCCAGGGTTTTTATTGTGTATCAACATTAAATACATGTGGGGAGCCTGGCATGGTGGAATACACCTGTAGTCCCAGCTAATTAAGAGGTTAAGGCAGGAGAATCTCGAGTCCAAGTAACAGACCAGCCCAGACAATAGACCAAGACTTTGTCTCACACAGTAAGACTA